TAAGCTACATGGTCACAAAATCATATAGGTGATATGATCAAAAGATCATAGGTCATATGGTTATTTAGGTCACATGTCCAATATCTGAGTATATAAATCATGATTTTGTGAACAATGGTCAATGGTCACATAGTACGAATCATATGATCACATAGTCACAAGATCATACGATCACACGGTCACATGGTCATATCTATCGGTAAACAAGAACAAAAACAGTTGCAGAATGTCCATGAAATTAACAAGAACAAGGGCCAAAAAGGAGAAGAGAGATACCAATTAACACTACCACATGTGACCAAAAGAGACTATCCCCAAAATTCTATGGATCAAAAAAATAAAAAAATAAAACTTGCATAAACATGAATTTCACTAGTTTTTCCTAGCATCTTTAAGTTGCCATTTCTTCAGAATCTGGAGGTACCTCTTAATGTTGAAAGATTCGAATACACTTTCGGGCAGAGCAGATATGATTGCGCCCATGAGAGAGTGATGCCAGTAAGGAGTGCAACATGTCTCGTAGCCTACAAAACGGAGAGCTGCCTTAGTATAACCCTCTGGTGACGCCACTATGAAGGAAGCTCTTCTTATCGACGTCATCTTGGTTGCAACGTACAATGAAATCTATAACATGACACCGTATTCCATGAGTCATCATGAATAAATCTCTCTAAGAATGGTGAATCCTATGCTCATTTCACAAAGTGTCTGCATCCAGAAGGGCGGAGCCCGAATTGGTTCAACGGTAAGCTCACTTCCCTAGAGGTACGAGGTTGTGGATTCGAATCAGCCTCTCTACATAAAAAGCAAGGGTATGGTTATCTAGTATATTCCCTTCCCAAAACCCCATGCATCAGGTGGAGACTCGGACTGAATTGATCCTTATTCATATTAGCTATAATCGTTCATAATTATATTAGCAAACCATTACGACTCTCCCCAATTTGGAAAACAAGATTACTAAGATAAAAAAAAAATGAATTCATCAACCTTATGCCTAACCAAATTAACAAAGCAAGTCAAATTGGTGGAGTGAACACAAGGCGTGACCTTCTTGCCTGATAGTTTAAGCATAAAGTTTAGTGAATTCGGGGATTCAAGAAACATGGTTTATGCCTCACGCTGTTTTAATTAACATTCGTCAACCATAAGCCTAAGATCGTCTCAAGACAGAGACCAACTTGACCAACCTAGGATTTGCAATTCACAGTGTATTACCAATCACTGATTCCCATGAAGACTTTAGGTTGCTACCACTACCATCTACATTTAAAAAGAATTCGGAAACTACAACACAACCAAGTCTCCATCAAGAAAGCTGAACCTGACATTGAACATCAATCCCACTCTTTTTGTACTCTATATAAAGAGATTTTGTAAACTGATCCACGTACCTACAGAAAATAAACGAAAAAGTTCGGATTAAACCATCACAAATGCTGGTGAAACAAAATCAGACAAAGAATTCACCGGAGAAAGTCCATACGTTTTGGCGCCGACATAAATGGAGTAGAACGGGTAGGATGGAATCAGAGCTGCAGCACCAGAACCCATGCTGATGATTGCACCTCGCTTTCTCTGAAGCATATTGGGAAGAACAGCATGTGTAACCTTGGTAACCCCTTCAACGTTGATTTTGATTAGATTTCTGAGCAAATCTTCGTCCACCTCATGGAAATACCTCGCGTAAGGGTACGAAATCCCAGCATTTTTTACGGGTAGGATGGAATCAGAGCTGCAGCACCAGAACCCATGCTGATGATTGCACCTCGCTTTCTCTGAAGCATATTGGGAAGAACAGCATGTGTAACCTTGGTAACCCCTTCAACGTTGATTTTGATTAGATTTCTGAGCAAATCTTCGTCCACCTCATGGAAATACCTCGCGTAAGGGTACGAAATCCCAGCATTTTTTTTATCAGAATCCCAATTTCCAAACCCTCGATCGTTTCCTTGATTCGCTTAACACCCTCGTCGAGATCTCCAGCAAATCCATTACCACGGTCTTGATCTGGGTGTTACTGTACTTGGACTGGATAGCGTCAGAGACATCCGTCAACTTGCTGGTATTCCGACCTTCTAGCAACTCTGTAGCCCGTTCTCCTTTTCCAGACACAGGAGACTTTGTCATAGGTTGTGGATTCGAATCAGCCTCTCTACATAAAAAGCAAGGGTATGGTTATCTAGTATATTCCCTTCCCAAAACCCCATGCATCAGGTGGAGACTCGGACTGAATTGATCCTTATTCATATTAGCTATAATCGTTCATAATTATATTAGCAAACCATTACGACTCTCCCCAATTTGGAAAACAAGATTACTAAGATAAAAAAAAAATGAATTCATCAACCTTATGCCTAACCAAATTAACAAAGCAAGTCAAATTGGTGGAGTGAACACAAGGCGTGACCTTCTTGCCTGATAGTTTAAGCATAAAGTTTAGTGAATTCGGGGATTCAAGAAACATGGTTTATGCCTCACGCTGTTTTAATTAACATTCGTCAACCATAAGCCTAAGATCGTCTCAAGACAGAGACCAACTTGACCAACCTAGGATTTGCAATTCACAGTGTATTACCAATCACTGATTCCCATGAAGACTTTAGGTTGCTACCACTACCATCTACATTTAAAAAGAATTCGGAAACTACAACACAACCAAGTCTCCATCAAGAAAGCTGAACCTGACATTGAACATCAATCCCACTCTTTTTGTACTCTATATAAAGAGATTTTGTAAACTGATCCACGTACCTACAGAAAATAAACGAAAAAGTTCGGATTAAACCATCACAAATGCTGGTGAAACAAAATCAGACAAAGAATTCACCGGAGAAAGTCCATACGTTTTGGCGCCGACATAAATGGAGTAGAACGGGTAGGATGGAATCAGAGCTGCAGCACCAGAACCCATGCTGATGATTGCACCTCGCTTTCTCTGAAGCATATTGGGAAGAACAGCATGTGTAACCTTGGTAACCCCTTCAACGTTGATTTTGATTAGATTTCTGAGCAAATCTTCGTCCACCTCATGGAAATACCTCGCGTAAGGGTACGAAATCCCAGCATTTTTTTTATCAGAATCCCAATTTCCAAACCCTCGATCGTTTCCTTGATTCGCTTAACACCCTCGTCGAGATCTCCAGCAAATCCATTACCACGGTCTTGATCTGGGTGTTACTGTACTTGGACTGGATAGCGTCAGAGACATCCGTCAACTTGCTGGTATTCCGACCGACGAGTACGGGATTAAACCCCTTTTCGGCCAACTGAAAGACGAAAGCTTTTCCGATTCCGTCGGTGGGACCGGTGACGAGAGCCCAAGATCCATACTTCCGTAGATTCTTGGTGGGTCGGAGGAAGTAGATGTAAACCCATCTGAGGATCGAAAAGAGGAATTTGAAGACGGAGATGGAGCCAATACTGAAGAGTGCGAGGACCCAGATTGGCTGGGACTTCAGGGTTTCGGTGAATCCGCAAAGCTCTATGAGAAATTCCAGGGATTCAGGAAATGGGTTTTTTCTCCTAGGATCCGAAAACTGAGAAGAAATTTAGGGTTTTTAAGGAAGAAGAAGAAGAATTGAATAGGGCGGAAGGGACGGAAGTGGGTGAAGTAGATGAGCAGAAAACCACCGGACTTAACAACACATAGTCGTATTCTGACTAAATTATCTAAATTTATTTTTGGAAGCATGGGAAAATTTCATACTTTTAGATATGAATATAACTTTGCAAAAAATGTTATTTCGTCCCAAATGACCAAAAAGATTATGGAACACTTTTTTGTCGATATCGAACCTAGGACGAGACCGATATTTTATAGCGATCGATATCGTCCTTAGCTCCGTGATCTCAGCTGGAGACGAGGTCGATATCGACCATGAGGTTGGGTCGATATCGGGCTTGAGGGTGAGTCGATATCGAGCTCATGCCGAGGTCGATGTCGAGCTCCTTTGGGTCGATATTTCGTCATGACTTCTTTTCTCATATGTTCTTGCCCGTTTCTCGTCCCACGACGTCTGCTCAGTCCAATTACACTTTTAAACGTCGTTTTGGTTCCTTTTTCATCGAAATTAAGCTCCCATGATGGTCGACATGATCCCGTGATGCTTGAAGAATAAATTGCTGAAACAATGTTCAGTCTTAACGATTTTAGAATTCAATCCAAATTGCTCAGGAGCAATGCCGAGTCCAAGAAAAAAAGAAGGAAACTTGCGATTTTTTGAGATTTCATGAAAATTTATGTGAAAGTATAATTGAAATAAAAATAATTTGTTTTCGATCCAAATGACAAAACACAATTTCAAACACAAAAGCTAGAAGACATTATCCATTACATGTGATCTTGCTTCAAATCCACGATACCACATGAAATTATAGTTGTTTTGTTTATATTTTACTTTCTTAATTACTATGGTTTTGTTTTGTTTTTTTATGAATACTATGGTTTTGTTATTTATTCACTATATAACATTTTATTATATATCCACCATATTAAAATCATATAGAGACTCATTATATCTATCTATCTATATATATATCATGAAAATAATTAATCGACAGTTTTAATTAGTTTTTATTGTACCAATGTGTTCCCACTTTCTTAACCTTTTTTAAAACATATTTTCTATAATTAAATATTTCATAATCAAATTGATAAGAACATCCCGTTCTAATTTTTTCTAAGATCTATTACAACAAATTGTAAAAATCAATCTAGTGGTATGTAAAAGGCGATCCTCTCATATTTTGCGATGGTGTACTTTTCGCCAACTGTTAGTTTTGATATCCGTGGGGAACGAAACTACTTGGCCGTTGAGCGTTCACACCTAAATTATATATTTAATCAATTAATTAATAAAGTTATATGGGCAAACGTATAATAAATTAGGGTTCCATTCCTGTAGAGCATATTATTTCCAGTTTTTTTATATAAACAGTTGACCAAATTAATAAAAACTACTAATCAATATGATATACAATGATAAATTTTTCCCAAATTAAAACAAGATCATATGATATATTTTTAAGGACTCTCCAATATTTATAAATAGTTCAGAAGATCAGATTTCTTCTACGAAGGCCAATAGAAAGACGCCAACTGTCAACGACGAACTCCGGGAGAAGCTGGACGAGAAACCATTGGAGGGAATGTGCCCAAAACGGCGAGCATCTCGGCCGGATTCCGATCATCCCTATGGCGGCTTTCGCATACATTTCCGGCGACGGTGTGAATAAACTCGGTCCATCCACATTTGCTACTTTCGACACCATCCCCGTTGCAACATACAGAGGAACCTGCACATGTATATGTTTATGTTGTAATGGACCTACCCTTATTAAGTATCTTTGTTTTCATAAATAACAAATAAAAATTCGTATTTGTCCGAGTATATACGCATAGGGAGATTTTAGAGAGGGATGGGGTACCTGGCAGTGGACGTCGATTCCAAATTGCTTATATTCCACGTGGAGACATTTTGATAATGTATCAATGTAGCTGTGGATTTCATATGCATAGTTAATTAAGATATTCGTATATAATCTTACGCTTAATAGAGGGTTTTACAAACAATATATTCGCATTTTTTAGAAAATAAAAAGTAAAAGAGAAAAAAGTTAGAAGTTAGAATAGAAATTCGGTGGAATTAATAAGTGGGTCCTTTCACGTCAGTCCAAACCCTAATGTGATGTCCCAAGTCAAATCCCAAAGCCGTATTCCTTGTACGGATCCCATTATTATTAAATTGAATGCCGGAAATAGGAAGATACCAATCTAAATTAGGTGAAAAAATTAATTCAATCTGATCGACCTTCAATTCAACAGTACCAATATATGATATAATATTTTAGGACTTGGGCAACACACACACACACATATATATATATATATATTTATATATTGTGATAAAGAATTATGTATATAAAGTCCTAAAATGAAGAGAACGTTTTGAGAGAGAGAGAGAGTACATGCAAGAAACGTGGGCTACGAGTTTAGACCATGCATATCTACAAGTTTGGATCAACAACGTGGTCCCATACACCTAAATATCCGTGACAATTAATGTTCGTGCATAGATCTCAAGATTATACACGTCTCGGTGAATAATTAATATGCATACATATATTATGACACGTATACATAGACACAAAATGAGGGGTTAGGTGTTGGTACCATTTCGTAGCGGCGTAAATGGCGTAGAGAGGATGAGAAGAGACGACAACTCCGGCGCCGGAGCTGATATTGACGATGGCTCCTCGCCGTCTCTGCAACATTCCTCCGATGACATGTCTCGTCACCCAAGTTGTCCCTTCGACATTAACCCTAATTATCTCCTTCCATGTCTCTTCCTCTACCTCGTGAAAGAACATTGCTTTCGGGTATGTAATCCCAACGTTGTTTATCAGGATCCCCACGTCTACGCCTTTGATCGCCTCTTCAATCGCTTTGTACCTCGTTGAAGGTTCCTCTTCTGGTCAGTAAAAAAAAATTATTGACGTCAAAATGATTATTAATATTGAAAATGGAACATGTTCATTTGGATTTCTTTGGATTCAATGAGAGCTTTTATGTGGTCACCACCCTCGTATCGCTGTTTTATATAATAAAGAAAGAAAGAAACGTTTTACCAAAAACAAAAGAAAGAAAATATGAATGTACAACATGAAAATGAAAATGTGTATGCGTTCCATGAAGAAATATTACATGATCATATATATTGCATGGTGCATATATACGATTCTGGTGCACATATATGTATATATGTACTTGAGTAATGAAACAGGATCTCAAAAGATGCATGTACTTTTTTTGTGGTTCTTAAAGATTGATTACCAGAAGAGAAGTCAAATGGAATGATCTTGATCTTGGTGTTGGGAAACTCTTGATGAAACTGTTGGGCGACAGATTCGAGTTTGGTCGGGTTTCGGCTAACGAGGATCAAGTTAAGGCCATGTTTGGCAAGCTCGTGAGCAAACGCTCGGCCGATGCCGGCGGTGGCTCCTGTGACCAGAGCCCATGAACCATAGCTCTTGAGTGGTTTAGGGTGTAAAACGAATCTGGTGAAGACCCAATCGAAGAGGCGAGATGAGAGTTTGAGGAGAGAGACAAAACCTATTAGACATACAAGGTCAAGAACAAGATGGAGATGCCATGGCTGTTTTTCAGAGCATGTTGTCTGCATGGTTCTTTTTCTTGTTTCTCAACTAGTTAATGTAAATGGGTTTTTGGGTTCTTTCTTATGTAGGAGATCTGTAAAAGAGAGAGAGAGAGAGAGAGAGAGAGAGAGAGAGAGAGAGAGAGAGAGAGAGAGAGAGAGAGAGAGAGAGAGAGAGAGAGAGTAGGAAAGGACGAATGCGCGAGAACAGACGAGAAAATCTCGGTGATCTCCAACCTATCAGTTTATTTTTCATTATCGATCTTTTATACTATGAAATGGAATTTCCATTTGGTAATTAATCATTCCCTGATATAATATTAGCTCAAACGATCTTGGGAAGGATAGGTGGTCTTCACGTAAATAAAATATTAACCAATAATATGTTTATTGCATGCATATAATGTTTCCCACTTTGGTAGGTTGGAGTTGGACTTCCCCTTTCCCGAGGGCTTGGCTTTTATTAACAGGGAAATCATTAATGCGATCCCCTCTTTCAAGATTACTTCACAATGTTAATTAGTTTCGCTATGTTAATGATTTCTTTATAATCACATTAAACATACTCTTCTAAGCACGTAAAAGGTTCTAATCTATACAGCAGCAATTTATTATTTGTATCGAGAAAAATTGAATAAATAATAAATAAAACCAAAAAGACGTTTTAAATTGGTTTTTACATGACATGATGCACAAGTTTTGCTTGCAGTAGTAATATGGACAAAACATTTCGAAATTTTGAGTTCAAAGCTGCTGTAATATTAAAAAGAGAAATATTATTGAAATAAGAAATTTTTACAAAATAAATAGAGATGGTGAAGAAGAAATACAAAAGAAGAAATACAAAATAGGAAGTATATACTAATGTAATATGTACATAACGGACACCGCATATAATCAACATAATTGGGGGTTCCATAACTAAAGTAAAATAGATTTGCTTCACTAAAATTAGGCAACTCAATATGTGACATTGTAGACTCGTATCGTATTCGTGGCGTGCATGTGTTGATCTTCCGTGACATGATGCCATGGACTGATCTCGTCTTTGCTCGTTGGAAATTATACCGTCTCCAACAAAAAGGACATCATATAGTTTGATTCACCAATCAATTTGTCGGAAATGAGAGAGACACTAGAAGTGTCGGCAACATGAAGAAACAATGGACTTGAATATGGATCCAAGGAAGAAGATCGAGCAGAGGAACCAGATTCAAACGGAAGAGTAGTAGCATGATGATCTGTTTGAGCAGACGCAGAAGCATATGGGGAAGAAGACATAACCAAACAATACCAGAGACAGAGCAATCGGAGCAATTCTCACTTGATACCATATTAACCTTGCTACAAAAGAGAATTGCAGAAGGTTTTCTTGTATTATTAAACCATACAAAGATATATATATATATACAAAGGAAAGAATAAATCAGTTGTTAGATACAAGGAAACATAGATCTGAACAAATCAGGAGCCAAAAGATACTAAAAGACAAAACTAAATAATGTTGTTGAGATGTCAATAACACTTGTAATAAGTCTAAAACAATATACAGAAGAATCAAGTAACCAAAAATTCTTCTGTGGTTGCCTTTCTACTTTTAGATCGTGTTCTTCATTTATTTCGAACACAAATCATTCTCATGTACCATAAATCTATAGCAAGAACAGAGAACGAAACAAAAACAAAAAATGACATGGATGATTTACGAATTCAGATCGAATAAGATATACATGCTATAAGATCAATTACAAGAAAACACAATAACTACTTGGTACAAGTCTCATGTGCCAAAGCATGCCTTTATTTCTTGGCTTATCACCTTGGATAGATGTCCAACCAAGGATCGATTGATCTCTTGGGGGCTCGCAGTTGCCCCTTTGTTTGCTCTGTAGTGCTTATGTAATCGAAGGAGCACTTGTTTTTTCATTGTTCTTTCTCCATGACCATCTTGCACTAGACTATGGAAAGATTGGTATCACTGTGCCGGAATTTTCCTTGTCAGAAGTACTTCACCACCTCCCGGCTACTGAACTTGGCATGTACGACACTAGGCAATGCTCATGGTCTGGCAAGCAGCAACTTACGCCCTGTGCAATGAATCCAAATCATATAAACGTTGGGGCGTGTTCTACTTACGACGCGCTGCATCGGAGTCCGGGTATAGTAAAAAATAAGCAAGGGTGTAGGACGTCTCCCGAATGCGACGCGCCATATTGATGCCCTGATGTGGTGCTAAATAGGCAAAGGTTCCCACATCGTGGACGAATGTGGGTAAAGAAGTTAGTCTAGAATGTCGATGTTAATAAAAGTCAAAGTAGGGGATGGAATATGCAGACTTATAGGAAAGGAAGTAAGAAAGTCTCAGTGGAACGAAAAGTTAGGATAAGTACTTCGAATATCGGATCGCTTATGGGAAAGTTGATGGAATTTGTAGACACAATGAGTAGAAGGAGAGTGAACATTGCTTACATCCAGGAGATAAACTGGGTAGGAGAGAAAAATAAGGAGATTGGTAATACAAGTTTTAGATTATGGTATTCGGGTCAAGAACGAAATAGAAATAGGGTGAACATTATCTTAGATAGGTCTTTGAAGGAGTCGATGATTGCAGTAAAATGAGTAGGCGATAGGATAATCCTAGTGAAATTAGTTGTAGAAGGAGAAGCTGTCAACGTGATTGGCGCTTATGCCCCGCAAATAGGATTAGATAGTGAGTATAAAGAGAAATTTTGGGAGGACATGGATGAACTTATGCAAAATGTACCGTCTGAAGAGTCTATTTTTATCGGTAGAGATTTAAATGAATATATCGGAAATGATCCACAAGGATATAAAATGGTACATGGAGAGTTTGGTTATGGGGGTAGGAACGAAGAAGGAAAAAGTATACTAGATTTTGTCATGTCGTATGACCTCATATTGGCAAACACTCACTTTCAGAAAAGATAATCACATTTAGTGACCTATAAAAGTGGAAAAAACCGTAGCCAAATCGACTTTCTGTTGGTTTAGTGCTCTATCATGAACTGTTGTATGAGTTTTCTTATGATACATTTGATGTATTGACACTTTCTATGAGCTTATAGTTGAGTGTTTGATTCATTACGTATTGTGCATACTTGATATGTTATGAAATCCATGTATTGTTATGAACAATACTAAACACTACAAATAAAACCCCAAATTCCAACCGGCAAATCCGTTGGAAATGGCCGAAAATCCGTTGGAATTCGATTTTTCCAACGGATTTCCAACGGATATATCCGTTGGAAATCAGTCGTTAGAAACGCAGATCCGTTGGAATTCCGTGGCAAATTCCAAACGGAATTCCAACGCCTTCATCCGTTGGAATATTTCAACGGATTTCCAACGGTTTTTCCGTGGTATATTTTCAACGGAATTCCAACGGATTTGTTCGTCGGGATATATCAACGGAAATTCCAACGGACATCCGTGGCTACTTTCTGACGGGACCGTTAGAATATCCGTTAGAAATATTCCAACGGATTTACAACGGTATTTGTCACGGATATCCGTTGGAATATCCGTTGGAAACGCCGTCGAAATGTTACAATGGCATTTACAACGGCCGTCCGTTGGAATTCAAAATTCGTTCCAACGGCGATCCGTTGGAATAACCGTTGGAAAACACAAAAAAATAAATAAAAAATAAAATAAATATTTAAAAATAAAATAAATAAAACATTTATTTTATTTTTAAATATTTATTTTATTTTTTTATTTATATTTATATATATTATATATTAATAAA